TGTGAGATACAAATTGCATATGATTAAATCTTAAGTTATCAATGATCGTAAATAATAACAAGACACGGATATCGTTATTACGAATAGATCATCGCATGTGACACTTCTTAGTTGTGAAGTAAGTAGTTGATTTCACAAGTAAAGCATGATGACACTTAAATGAATACGTGGATACTTTGTTGTTTTGCTTTAAAACATAACATAGAGACCCACTGGAAGATTCTACATAGATAACTATCTGAATGTTAGTGATTAATCTCTAATGTTTAGTAATGGAATTGATCCTTTGACTGGAGTTAATCATAGTGTCTTATGTGAAGACAGTTTGGTGATATTGAATATTGCTCTACCAAAGGCCACTAATATGGCGTTGTTCGAGTATGTCAAGAATCATGTGAAAGTTGTGAATGATTAATAGAGGATTCGTCACTCTTATATAGTAAAAGATTATGATTTACATTTTATTTAGTTAAGTTGACAATGAAATCATTGGCCAAGAAGTAGTAGTAAGTCGAAAATGACTTAATAGTAGGATAGAATATATGATCAATAATTGAGATTGACAAATTTATATCTCGTAATCGATCGGATCATATTGACGAAATGATTATAGTTTCACGGTAAACGAACAAATTTGATTTTATTATACCATGTGATATTTCCCGTTACATGTATTACCCTAACACATTGCTAGATGTCAATTTGAGATGATGACTGTAAATTAGTGATAAATTAAAAATTTGTATTTCTAATTTATCGATTTTGATTAGATCAAAATGATAATTCATGTTGTTAGGCATTGTGATTGGAAACCTAATGAGTCACACACAAAAGGAAAATTAGAAGAATAAGATGTATCAATCAATTAACTAATAAGTGTTAGATAATTTATTAATTGGATCAATTAATTAATTGATCAGATTTAATTAACTGGATTAATTATATATTAGAACGAATTAAGTGTAAGAGGCGAGCCAAGCCCATTTAGACTTTTATTAATATGCTGCTAGGGTTTAAAAAACTGGAGAAAAAACTTATATTCCTACTAGCACAAGAAAGGTAAAAACTCTAATTCTCTCAATCTTGTTTTCTCTGTGGATTACTATTGGAGGCTGAACAATTATACAGTTGCGGATTGTAGATCGTGATTGTTGGAATTCAAGAAAAGCAAAGAAGTTTTCAAAATACAACAAAAGGTATAATTTCTATTACAGTTTCTATCTAAACACAAAGCAGATCCTTGGTGGGAATTAAAATTTTATTTAAATTATGTTGTGCATGATTAAACTCCTGTTTAAGTCCCATTCTTTTACATAATTTTTCATTATTTTTTCTATAGCACTCATTTTAAACTACACATTCTTCATTAAAATAATATTACATGCATATTAAAAACTTTACCTTTTTTTTTAACCACACAATGTCCGTCAATCACTATTCCATAATATATTATTTCAAATTAATGGAGCTCAAATGAAGCCTAAGTAAATTTACAACAGTAGTATCAAAGTCAACTTTATGTTTGTTAAAAATTGTTTTGAATATTAGGGAAGTCTCAAAAGTTGATTGTTGTTATTTTTCTTGAATCTAGCAATTTAGAAAATTGTTCTTATCTTCAAAAATCTGCTTCTGAAAAGAAAATCAATTTTGGGTCGAAAATCCAAATCGAAAGGTTTTGCTGGAGGCAACGACCGTCGTCGAGACAAGCAACATACGCCGAGACAACGGCACAGTTGTTGCACGAGAAGCAACATGAGCCGCACGCATTATAGCGACACTCAATGCTGTTGTCATCAACAGCAATGAGCGTCGCTAAGAGCAAAAAGTAGCGCCTACAACCTAAATATATAGTTAAAATTAGGAAAAATTGCAGCAACGATCTCTAACCTTTTACATTTTTGCAGACGTTACCCTAACCTTCATTTTGTGCCAACCACAATCCAGAACCTTTCAAAAATATGCACTTGGGGTCCAAATGTATGAAAACCGTCCATTTGACCGTTAGTTGACTGAAAGTCAAAGGGTTAACTGAATTTTGACCAATTTTAAAAGATTAAAATAGTAAATTTATATCTTATATAATAAAACAATTAAAATTAAATTAAATTAAAAATTGAAAAAACAAAATTGTTACCCCTCACCCCACCCTAGCCTCAAAACAAAACCCAAGCAAGGTCTTCACTGCCGCAGGCCATCACCACCACCATCGACCGACCAAAAGAGGGTTGCCTCCTTCAGCCGCCCCTCCAAAAACAACAGCCACCGTCGACGAGCCAAAGCACAGAAAATCGAAACCAAAAAACTCCATTGCACTGTGAACCGAAACTGTTTTGCCAATTTTTCGAAATCCCGTTCGAATTTAGAACATACTACTGGAAATTAGGACATACTACTGGATTTCTTAAACGGTTTCACCGCAAGGTTTTGTTCTTGATTTCTTGAAGAATGAAGGTTTTGTTTCAAAATCACATGTTTTTTCTTTCAGAATGAAGGTTTCTTTCAACAGTCGTGAGTTTTTTCTTCTTTAGCTTTGCCGCAAGGTTTTGTCCTTGATTTCTTGAAGAACGAAGGTTTTGGCGGCGATAACCATAATCTCGTAGCCGGCGGTAGCAATGGCCGACGATGTCTTGGATTTGGTTTTGAGGTAGGGTGGAAAGATGACACTTTGAATAGGGTTTTAGTTTTTAATTTTTTATTTAATTATTTTATTTTATTATATAAAATATAAAATTATTATTTTAACCTTTTAAAATTGATCAAAATTCAATTAACTCTTTGACTTTTAGTCAACTAACAATCGAATGGACGGTTTCCATCCATGTGCATACTTTTGAAATATTTGGGATTGTAGGTGACGCAAAATGAAGGTTGGGATAAAGTATGCAAAAAAGTGAAAGGTTAGAGACCTCTGCTACAATTTTCCCATAAAATTAATTGTTTATTTTAATTTATATTAAAATATAAATTTTAGGAAAATTGCAGTAGCGATCTCTAATCTTTTTATTTTTGCAGACTTTACCTTAACTTTCATTTTGTGTCAGCGAAGATTCCTAACCTTTCATAAATATGCACCTGATTTCCATCTGAATGGAAACCATCCAAAACACCATCAGTTGATACATCTATTTAGATCTCAAGGTGTCTTCGTTGGTACAAATTGAAAGTTAGGATAAAATCTACAATGAAAATGTTAAAGACCGTTGCTACAATTTCTCCTCATTTATTTGAAGATCTAACAGACTAGGGGCTTAATATGAAATTTTGTGTGTTCTCGTCATGCTTCTTATCATAATTAAAGATGTGAAAAACTGTATAATCTCATGATCACCTTCATAATAATTTTTTTTTGTTTGGAGTTTATCACCAAAATGTCCAAACTTAATATTAGAGATGTGAATATAGGAATTTGCAAATGGATCTTTGCCATTTATCGCACGAGTTTCAAGCCCCACGTTTGTCACAGTGTAACTGCTTTTCCATCCACTTTTTATTCTTTTCGTTTGTCGCTCGTCACCTCATTTGTTTTACTTGTTGAACTAGTTTCCTCGACTATATTTACGAAATAGTTCTCATGATAATTTTTAGTACCTGAATATGATGACCTACTAGAACCTAACAAAACTTAGCTCTTCTTTGGTTTAGCTAAAAAGTTGATAGAAAATCAATTTTGACCACAAATTTTATGGGATCCTTAACTTTTATCAACTTTTCAACTACACATTTCATCAATATTTATAAAAATCAACTAATTCATTTACCAACTTCTCTACATCATAGCAAAATTGTAATATAATTTTAACTCTATGATTTTTAAATTGTCCCCAGCCGTTGAGAATGGATCAAAATTTGGCTTGATTCATCATACCATGTCCCACCTTGCGAAATTAGCTCCCTCGCCCATAATTGCGTTACCTCTCAAAATAGAAAGAAGCCAGTCTTGATGTCAAGAGATTCTAACAAATGTAGACCAATACTCATCAACTATTTGCCACCTTATGCTAGCATGTAAGAGTTCTCGTCCCCACATATCACTTCACTAAAGAAACGAAATTCTAGGCCCAATACTTTGGATGAACTTATTGGTCTTGTTATTACGTGCTGAAGTCAAACAATTAGATTAAACCACGTTGGGGTTTACTAATCCCAATGGAATTATGATTTGCAGAAATCTATAAAGACACATTCAATATTTCTTGTTAGCACAAGAGAGAAAGGCAAATAAGTCTAAACCTGATTCTTCCAAATTCGACCTTTTGGTGGAGCAATTCCAGTTTGTTCTCTCCATATAGATTTTCTGCTAGATGTTGGAACATTTAAACAGTTGCGGATCTGTGGTATACGAAGATCGTGACATGAAATTTGAAATCGTCCCAACCGGTAAAAATCACCTTTAGGCTTGGTTAAAAAATTCCAGGTCCCTATATCTCAAACAACCAGCCCGTTTAGGCTTGCACAATTTGTTCCATTCTAACTAGCAACCTTCCGCCAATTTTCTTCTCCAGCCCACCGGAACCTCCTAACAATCGCCTAAATATTTGCACATAAAGTCACTGGCAGTAGGACCAAACAAAAATCCCTTCGAACTATAAAAGCAAACAAAATAATGGATCGACCATGCACACAAGTGTTTTGGACAAGTTGATGGTGTTTTGGACAGTTTTGGACAAGTTGACGGAAACCGTCCAAAGTGAACAGATAACGAACAAACAAAAATCCCTTCGAACTACACACAAGTTGTTATATTATACGTACTGTTTGCTTTGAGAGAGCTTAAACCTATCTTACCCTCACGAATTTCTATTGCATCCACCAAGATTCAAACCCAAAACCTCTTATCTTATGAGAGATTTAAGTTAAATTCTAATATCAATTAGACAAAGGCTCAAGTCGTTACAGTTACTATAATACAAATATTAGTTCAAGTTCATATATTAACTTGACCTAAAAAGGAAAAAAGAACAGAACAGATAGGTAGGTATAATTGAATCTACCACGAGAACTAAAACAAAAAATTAGACCTACTTTAACATCATAAATTGTAATTTATACTATATTAATGCACGTATACATGATTGGATACTCTGGTTACACGAGAATATAGACTACCTACTTGTCCACAAAACAAAACAGGAAACTATGTAACTTCATTTGGTAAAGCTATAAATTCGGATTCTTCTGGGCATCAGAATAGGAAGGTGTCAAAGCAACCGAATCTTATATTTATAAGCATCTTCAGTAATATTTCATTATCTAGAAAGATGTTCGAGCACAGTAATCTTGTAAAGTTATGATAGAGAAGGTACAGTTCCTTGACTAAGGTAGTTAAAGACTTGCTTTAGATTACCTCTTGATGGGCGAGCATTAATGGCAAATTTACATATAAACACCAATCTTTTTCGCAACTCCAACTTGGTTAGGCGTGTCTCTTTGAAGGAGTTCCCATCATCAAAGTGTCCTATTGACAGGATTTAAAATTACATAAACGCTATAAAACACAAAACACAAAATAGTGGCGTTCTTTATGTGTGCTCTGTAGCGTTGAACATTTAAACTGAGAGAGGAAAATCAAAAACAAAAGAAAAATACTAAATCTAAAACTAATACATACCTGCGTCTGTATATAACGAAGTAAAGATTGCCAAACACACACATATGCTTATATCTTCTCCTGTAAACAGATCAGATATAAGAGAATCTTTACATTACTAGGCACATCTAAAAAGTTTTTTGTAACATAACATCACAATTTTTTTCCAAGTTCTTTATTCTTGTGTAGCTAAGGGCATCTCCAACCCAATCCCTTTGCACCAAATTTTTGGTGCAATCCATCTCCAACCCACTGCACCATTTTGGTGCAAAATAGTGCAAATGAACAGTATTGCACCATGGTTAAGTACCTTTTTGCCCTTCTTTTTTCATTTTGCCCCAAATTTTTGTTTAGGGTCGTCGCTGCCGCCGCCGCCGCCACCATCGTCGTCGTCTACACTCCTTTAATTGTAGTATTATTACTGTGCTATATTTTATAAATTGTAAAACATTTAATAAATTCAATATTTTTGTTAGCTAAACGTAATTTATTTATTTAGAAATAAAATAAATAATTATTGAGATAATTAAATCGTTAAGAATGAGAAATATAAACAAAATGATGAAACAATGTTCATTTGATGCAACTTTTGATGTACTCAGTTGGAGATGATTTTCAGTTTGGTGCAAAATTGTGCAATACTGACCTCGAATTTTGATGCAAGATTGGAAATGGCCGTAGTACATGATAAGCAGAGCTTAAATTGTCCCCCCCCCCCCCCCCCCCCCCCCTCCATTNNAATTAAATCTTCCCCCCCCCCCCCCCCCCTTTATAAGTGTGGGTTTTATGGAATATATGATAATAAAATTATAAGTCTTACGAAATGTGTTGATATAAAGTATGTTTGACCAACTTAAGAAATAATTTAATCTTTGCCAAACATGTAGTAAATAAGAAATGTCATTGAAATGAGATAAAAAGTTCATTGTTCCAAAGTACAGAAGGGTTACCAAATCAAGAGTCTAGAGTGTATATAACCGTTATTTCATCATCATGATATTACAAACTAATCCATCCTAATATACTGCAAAGGTAGCAACCATGCATCAAAGAAGACAAACAAAATAATAGATAGCTTACCATTGTTGCAGCAAACTAGAAGTGTTTTCCCTCGTCTTAAATTCGTTTTGGCAAAATCCAACGCAGAGGGAAGATTTCTCAACAAAGAAAACCTATCAAATTTGGAATCCTGTTCACAAGTAGAAGAGAAAGAAAGAGAAAATATGGTAATTTTCCAAAAATAAATTTCTAGCGAACGCCAACCATTCTGTAATACATACCACTATTGGCAGGTGTAAACATGCTTCAGAATCCATAGAAAGAGAGACCTTATGACAGTTTATTATGCTATCAGCAGGAAATTTGTCTGCGGCTGCAATACAGCATCTCATTAGACTGGGTTGGTATGGTAAGCATTATTCTAAAAATTAACTGATGCATAAGCAAAAGAGATAAATAAATGATGCTAGTTCATTATACTGAGGTTGACCTTAAAGCATTTTGAAATCATTGAACCTTCTAATATTGGCTTTGAAACTCTCATTAGACTGGGTTGGTCAGCATTATTCTAAAAATTGACTGATGCACAAGCAAAAGAGACAATTAAATTAAGCTAGTTCATTATACTGAGGTTGACCTTAAACTTAAAGCATTCTGCTGTCATTGACCACTTCTAAGTTGGTATTAAACTCTTCACAAAAGTTATTAGGGGCAGAAACGAATTGTAATATTGGTTTGCAAATGCAATATTCACATATGCAACAACCTTAGTAACAGTCTCCACATTTGCAATATCAAAAGGTGAACAAAAAAAATCAAATAAAACCAACCAAGAAGAAAATTTGACCATTTTGCGAAGAAAAATAATAGTAAAAAAAAAAAAAAAAAATTGAAGTACCGAGTGGAGTTCTTCCAACTGCAATGTTAGTAGAGCCCAACCAAGATATTGCATAGTTGTCACTTGATTTCTCATCCCCAGCTAAACTAGGAATATCCACATCCAACGTGTTTGTGCTAACCAAACATTTTGAAGGTCTGACGGATACCTGGGGAGCATTTTCTCCCCTTTGTGCCCGATAAACTCGATCCTTTTCAACAATATTAGCTACCCTTTGATTGCACAAGTCAGGACCTGAGCTTATAAGATCATAGACATTTTTCCAGAAAAGATTAGGTGATAAACTCCTCGCCCAACTTTCCTCGTCGTCACCAGCTCCAGCAATGTAATTCCAGCTAAACTCAGTGGTACTTAGTTTCTGAAACGTGCTACTTGGTGATGATGCAGAAATAAGAATGACAGGTGTGAAATCCCACGAATCATATTCAGGTACTTCATTCAACCAGATGACAGTTTTCTGTGAAATCCATAAAGGCCGTAGAGGTTTTCTAAGGGATAATGAAATTGAGGCAATGTCTGCCCCACTGGCTTCAAATTCCTTGGTCCATCCTTCCAAACGGGCCTCAATAATTGCTTTCTCAGTTTCTGAAACCCAGAGGGGAAGATGCAAGGAACAATCCCACCCAGAATAGTCTTGCTCAATATTACTAGTAAGCTCATCCGAACTATTTGACTCCTGATAAGGAGCAGCAAAACAAGATATTGATTAATGTAAATATAGTTAAAAGCATATCACAACCCTAAAACTATAATATGGAATTGAAATATGGTATCACAGAAACAATAGTGTTTAGAACAATGCAAGATTCATCAACTCCAAAACAGAGTCGATCACTCGTCATAAAATAATAAATAGATAAAGTGGAAGAGCAATGCTACTAAAAAAGCATCATTACTGAGTCTAATAACCTAATTATTTGCCTGTCCCAATACTTAAAATCACTTCCCACGGCTGTCTTAAAATTGCTTTCAATCAGCGCCAAATGTTAATCCCAGATGAGATTCATCTTCACTGAGCAGCAGATGTAACCTTTTCTTACTTTTCTACAAAATGAGTATGAAAACCTGATGTCGACTTCCTGGTGTCTGGACACATGGGATAATATTGTACACAGCAAATGAAATAAAATCTAAAGAATTCCAAGTTATTTTTCTTTTCTTCTTTGCAGAAAGAGTACATATGTTTTCCATCATTATATTATGATGCAAATCACTAATGCCAAACATCCCATATCAACTAAAATGATTTGCATGGATTTGATGTCAGATGCATGTTACATAGCAAATGTAAGAAAATTACAATCAAGGATAAAACCATCCAGGTCAAAATAACCTCATTCTATGTACTTGGGTCGAGCTAATGGGTTTTAATTTGTACAAATATATAGATAAATTAATCATGCCCAAACTACTGGACAAAAAGTTATCAACCCATATAACTCAAATTAACTCAAATGGATATGATATGGGATGACATTTTACATAGAAAAACTAAGAATTTATAATCAAAAAGTGAAAATGTATTCAGGTGCATCAAAATGAAAAGATCAGCAATTTAAACTTCATATATATGAACATACCCGTAGTGATACAACTTCAATCAATTACTAAAATAAATAATCTTCTACTCACATTCTTTAGAGTGGCATATTCATCCAGTCTGGCCCTATGATAAGAAATCGCACGATTTAACACACAGGTCCAAATTGGTATTGTCTTGGACATACTGTCAGGAAACCTCTTCCCTTTTCTTGTGGAATCAACGATCATGACTCCACCCTTCTGTCCTACCCATCAAAATTGATAAAAGTTGACAGTGTATTCCATACACCTCCGTAGTACTACTTATAATACTTGATAGATGGGCAAGCATAAGAAATGAGCAGGTTTAAGAGTAAATTTGCAAAATTCCAACAATTTAAAAAATAAATCTTGAAGAGAAAACTCAAAGATTGCAACTTAAGCAATATTCACAAAAAGGATTTTATTATCCAGTATAATTTTTTTATATCTTAAACTTTTGCAAATGATGTTACATTATATGATGCGTATCAGTCATTATTTTATACAGAATGCATACTACTAAGTTAGTGCTGATTACAATCAAGAAAACAAGGTTGTGTTTGGAATCATGGACTTGGAAATTTTTAATGAAATTCCATAAAATAAAAAAAAATAAAAAAATAAAAAAAAAACCAGCTCCCTCTTCCTTCTTCTTCATTTTTTATTTTTATTTTTTTTGTGAGGAATCTCTTCAAATAACAATTCATATTCCAATTCAAATTCACCAGAAACAATGAAACTACCATTGTTAATCTCTACTCACAACAATAGTTATATCACAACTGACATTCTAGCCACTTAACGTCTTTTCACACAAATGAAAATTGATAACATGTATCTATAAACATAAGAGAGAGAAAGTAAATGAATATACCGGCAAGTAGTGCGACGTGGAGGTTGAGGCGAGAGGTGCTGAAGGACAAATTATTTGTATGTCCATCAGTGGATTTGAAGTAACAATTGGAGTGGAATTTGGGGGAGTACCACAGTCCGCAGCGTAGGTTCGCGAGCAACGGAAGTTCCGGCCATAGCTGAGAGATTTCTCCGACGAAGATCGAATCCTCGTAGATCGATCGAAGAGCATTGTATAAAGTGTTCTCCTTGCGTCTTATGATCCTGGATACCTTGTATATGCTCGTTCTCTCCGATGGGAACTCCATTGATCTTTCACTCTGTGCGTGTGTTTGGGGATTCTCCAGGGCGAATACTATTGGAAGAGGTGACCGGAGATGGGAAAATATATATGGTTTTTGACCCTAAAATGTCAGCAAATTGACACAAATAGCACAATAATGGTAAATTTATATACATTCAATAGATTGTACCACGTGGACAAAAATAATCAAATCAAATCAGAACAAACCAAAATAAAATTATATTGAGTGGATTGATTCAGTTCTACAAAAAAAAAAAAATAATAATAATAATAATAATAAATATATAAATAAAATAATAATTTTGATTCTTAAAATCGAGAACCATTTTACTCTAGTTTCGATACCAAGAACCGAAATTAAATTTTATTATTTTTTCTTTTTACAAATCAGTAAATCACATAAAAAAAAAAAAAAAATCCAACTTTACGAGCTACAAGTGTGAATTGGACAAAAATATCATTTATCATTACATTTCATTTTATCACTTATTAAACGAAGTGACCAAGCCCTAGATTTAAATTCAAATTCATTATCCATTTTTTTAATTTTAGAAACACTCGCACTTTTACACCACAACTACCAATACATTTGTTGAATATCAGATGTTCATTTTTTTATATATTAGCCACTAAAGTTTAAAATGTTGAGTTTTGATCACTGAACTTTGAAAAATGTTGAATTTTGGTCATTGAATTTAGGTTTATGTCTTCGATTGCTTATTAAAATTTAAAACGTCGAGTTCTGACCATTAAACTTTGAAAAATGTTGTACATTATTCATTATAAAGTTGATATTTTTCAAAATTCAACAATTATGCTAGTGAGTAACGTACGGAATATTCTAAAATTCAGTAGCCAAAATTCGACATTTTAAACTTTAGTGAGCAATCTAAGACATGGACCTAAATTCAGTAAGCAATCGAAGACATTGAGCTAAGTTTAGTGACCAAAACTCGAAATTCTAAACTTCAATGACCAATTAAAGACATGGACCTAAATTCATTGACCAAAACTCGTCATTTTTCAAAGTTTAGTGGCCAAAACTCGATATTTTAAAGTTCAGTAGCCAATCAAAGACATTGACCTAAATTCAGTGACCATTAGAACAATTAACTTGACTGTTAGGATACGTTTGATTACCAATATTTTTCATGGAATATATATTTTTTCCATTCAAATTTCTACCTTTGTGTTGTTTGATTGTCATTTTTTTCATGGAAAATATTTTACTACTTTTGGTCACATGATCATATTTTTATCAAAATCAAGGAAAATATTTTCTTTAGGAGAGTAAGATTTTATTTTCCAGGGAATTCTCTCTCTCTCTCTCTCTCTCTCTCATCTACCAACTAATAAAAAATGAACAAGTATAATATTTTCTAAATTGAAAATTAAATTAATCAAAAGAATTTAATTGACAATTTCGATACAAATAAATTCTAAGCAATTGAATTACCTAAAATTTATTTTTTTCCATGCGAATTTCATACTTGCAATCAAATACGCCCTTAGAGACTTTTAAAATGTTTTGATTAAATACATTGAATATACCAAAATTTTTAAAGAGTCTTTAAAATCTCAATTAAATACCTCTAAATTTTTTAAATCTTTAAAAATATTCAAAAATCTCATTTGAATACACCCTCAGATTGCATATGAAAATAAGCATTCAAAAAGAACAATGACGACCATTGAGAAATACCAAGTATTTAAAGATCCCTGGTTTTAGAGTAAATAGAGTTGAGCTCCTTAACCTTTTTATCGAATGTGATTATAGATCATTAATCTTCAAAAGTGAGGTTTCTAATCGTCAATCTACTTAAATATGTGAATTTGAATCACCATGTGATTGAAACCATCATTATAGACATTAAAATGACAAATGACACTCACATGATGGGATGTTTTCTTAGCAATTCAATAATTATCATTCATCAAGCAAAGTCAAATAAAAAATAAATATCCAAATTTTTAAATTTACTTAATCGACAAATTTGCAACGAAACATTTCTAATAATTTCATTAAAAGAAGATAGCACTATCAAATCGAAGAAATATATCTTCAAATTAGTGGAAACCCCTTTACATAAAGAAAGGGTTGTTCGCCAACCGAAAACTTTAGCTACTTAGCATTATTCATAAAGTAAAGGTGAAGGAGCTCCCAGAATGCAATGGCCATTCCAACCTATTCATAGGCTAGTTCACTACTTGAAGGTCCTAATCCACTCGACTTCCCATAGAGAGATGTATAACACCCTTTTGGGAATATTTTAATATGGATATGCTGATAAAATGAGGAAATTTCACGTAATGTCCATTTTCAGCGAGTCATTTGCAAAAATGTCCAAAATTTTGTCAATGTCCATTTTCCAATTATGTAGACGAAAATACCCCTGTTAGAAAATATTATTTCCACACAAGAATTCAAAATTTTCCATATCATTATTCATATCAATCAACGTAGAAATGTCAATCAGCATTAAATGCTTGGGTCGGGTAGGTGTGGGTCGATGTGGGTCGGGTTATGGGTCGAGTAGGTGCGGTCAAGTTGGATCGGGTTATGGGAAACCTGATAGAACCCGACCCGATAAAAAAAAATGAATGCGGGGGAATGAAAAAATAAAAGAAGCCCTAAACTAAGTCCTCTCAACTCTCACTCTCAGTCTCTCAATCTTCACTCCGACCCAACCCGCCAACAACGAACATGTCCATTTCTCTCTTATTTTCCCAGTTGCCATTTGCCCACCACACTTCAGAATCCAGTGCTATAGAGTAAGTTTATTTCGTTATTTTTTTCTTTATTTCGTTATTTTTTTCACTTCCCCAAGCCTCCCCTCTTCCTAAATCCTAAGATTTAACTAGTTTAACATAAATTGATGTCAAGGTCACTGAGTGTCTCAATTCTATTGGACGAGCAAATACTAACTGTTGATACAATTTGAGATAAAAAGTGGTACATGTAAAATACTGTCGAAAAGGTTGAAGAGGTAAAGTGTTTAAAGAAATCAGGAAAATGATTGTACTTTCTGTTGTCCCTATTATTGTATCTTTTGCTTTGAGATATAATCTATATGTCAACTAAATTTGATGCTGTTAGATGATAAATAACACTAGTACGAAGTGAAGAATACTCCATTTGAGGCATATTTCGCATCTAAGTTAGGCAATAAACATGATGAAATGACACAGGTTGTGTTGCTATTATACACTCTTAGACTGTTTGAATGCTCATCAGCAACTAAATGGCTTCATTTTCGCATCAAATTTGTTCTGCATCTTGTTGAGGGTTGCATTTGTATATTGATGGTTTCTTATGGAGGAAGACTGTGATAGGTTGATAGCAGATAGAAAACTTTGTCAAATCTTATGACATGTATACTTGATTTTGCGTATGGTCTGTTGTAGTTGGCTCTAAATTTATTTAATACAAGGCTATGTTGTTATTTATTTTGCTAAAGAATATTACATTTTCGATTTATTTGCATATCTAAATTAGGCAATTAACTTAATAAAATTGTAGAAGATTGTGTGTATACTTTTGAACTGTTTGAATGGTGATCAACTATAAAATGGTTATATGATAGCTTCAGATCAGAAGCCAGGTTTGTTTTAATTTCAACAATTAAACAACTTTGTTTAGATATGGTATTTTATCAAATCATTGTATGGTAAAAATCATTTTTCTTTCACTGCATTTTAACAAGAATGTTATATTTGATTTCGTTTGTACATTCTCATACTATTTGTTAAAGTATTGTTTTCATTTGTTTTGAATTGTAGATGAGTATAACACACCGATATAAAATTTCGGAGGACGAACGTGTTTCAACCCATGTGTCGCAAGTGAGCAATACAAAATATATATTAGTTGTCCTCAACAAATTGGATCCACGGCAAAAGCGTCAGTTGGAGGACAGTTGTATAGGACATGTTGCAAGGTTATCGGAGCTGAAACTATCTGCTCAATTAATTCATGAAATGGTAAACAGATCGGTGGTATGCCGAAAGCGGTTTGAGGCTTGGTTCAAGGTGAACCAAAGGTTTGCATGATTTGGACTGCCGGAGTTCGCACTAATTACCGGCTTGAAGTGCAGTCCAGTGCCTAAAGGTACCGAAGTTGACAAAATTCTAGAGAAAACCCGTCTACAAGATAAAATGTTTGCTAATATGGACCGGATAACGTGTAACGACCTGGAGAAAGTTTTTTTTGAAATGTGTCAACCGTAACGATCGTTACAAGCTTGGGTTAGCACTAATTATTGAAGGGGAATTTAATTCAAGAGATCGAAATGTAGGAATAAATTCGACAACTCTTTCCATCGTTGACGATTTGGATTTTTTCAATGTCTACCCATGGGGGATAGTATGTTTTCAACTTCTCATCAAATCACTACTACGTGGATGGGAAAGAAAGGCGGACATGGTAAAAGTGAATGATTGTGATAAGATGACTTACACATTGTACGGATTCCCTCTTGCTGTCCAGGTATACATCTATTTTGGTTCATTTCAGTTCTTTTCATTGCTCATTGTTATTTATCTCCAAATATGGTTATTACTGTTACAAATGTATGCAGATTTGGGCATACGAGATAATTCCGGAGTTGGGAGCTCGATTCTCAAGTAAGACTTGTGACGATGTCCCAAGGATGTTGCGATGGTCTGGCACGAAACAACCTCATTCCCGAACATATTCAGATTTTTTTGAGAAGACAAATGTAGGCGATTTACATATTTAATTGCCTTACACTTCGCAATATATATTATTTCATTTCGCCTATTTTTCTTCTCCTGTAGGTGCACCTGTGGGCAACGCTGCGAGCAACTGCTACAGAAGAATTGCAGCCGTACTTCGTCGATCTAGTTCCGTTGGAAGACGCGGCCGACCCCGTTCTAGATGGTCTTGTTGCTCAATCAATAGAAATACAAGCTTATCCAGTTAAAGATGATGTCATACGGAACAATGACAACAACTATCGACCAAATAAATCCCAGAGAGGCAACAAAGGTGGACCTCGTCATCGAGATTTGCATCATGTTGAAGGCAGAGAAGAAGAGCATGGGGATCCGATCGTTGAAAGA